TCTCTTGGTACATAATTAAGTGACATTAATTGTGTCCCCCGGGCTGTGTACCCATCACCACCACCCCCGCAAACAACGAGTGGGCACACCCTTGCAGGATCCCCCAGCCCCTGGTGACCGCTTTATGAGTTTGCCTCTCCTGGCTATCCCAGCTCTGGCTTCATGCACTGTTGGTCTGGCTGTGCTGGCTCCCTTCCCTCAGCGTGATGTTTTCAAGGTTCAGCCGTGTGGTGGGTGCACCAGGACTCCTGCTCCTGTGGCAGCGTGGTGCTCCCTTGTGCGGATGGACCACGTCGTTCTTATCTACCGTCTGTACACGGACACTTGGGTGGGTTCCACCGTGTGGCTGCAGCGAACACTGGTGCACACTGATCTGTTAGAGTCTGGCTCGCAGTCTCTTAGGTACTTACTTGCTTTTCTGTTTTTTAATGAGATACGAACAGGAAGGATGCGCCACTCACCAGGCTTTGCTGGTTGAGAGAGGTGGCACATGGTGCTGCGTCCTCATGCCACAGGGACGGGGTCGCTGCTCAGCCTTCCCAGGCTAAAGGCTGAGCAAGGGTTCAGCTGAGCCCCGTGGTCTGCCCACCTCTCGATGTGCTCTGTCAGCGCCTTCTGGTCTGCTTGCAAGCTCAGCTGCAGAGTGAGGTCTGGGGGAGGAGCTGGGTTCTCCAGCGAGGCCGGAATGCTCAGCCCAGGTCCACCCTGGTCTAGTCGCGAGGCTATGACACTGCTGGACCTGCCCTGCTCCTTTGGGCCCCCCGGGCCTGGTTCTTGGTCACTGGTGGGCAGTGTGCTGAGGGGTGGTAAGTGAGGGGCTCAGATGCTGGCCAGCACACGGTTTGAGGGCTGCCAGGAGCCGGGCCTTCTCCACACTGGATCCTCTTCTCTGTGCCCCATGTTCTCAGGGTGCAGGTGGCCCTGCGTCACTGGGAGGTATGAGGGCGGTGGGTGTTCCCTTGGCAGAGGTGCCCTGTGGGACCCCCGCGTGTGCTCAGACGCTCACCTTGCTGTTGCAGACGGCCAATGGGAACGTGGAGGCCAAGGTGGTGTGTTTCTACAGACGCAGAGACATCTCGAGCACGCTCATCGCCCTGGCCGACAAGCACGCAAGTGAGTTCAGTCTGCCAGCCTGGGGTAGGGTGTGGCCTGTCCCTCTGGTGCTCTGGGGTGGGACCTCCAGACTCGGGCAGGGGTGCTGGCGGGTCTCCTGCGGCTGCCTCACCAGAAGGGCCCTTGTTATTGGCTGTTGCTCGCAGAGAGTACAGCCCCTCTTGCCCTGCTCCCAGCTCCCTGTGGCGTCAAGAGACCGACTTGGTGTGTTCTAAGCAGCTCTGCCTCCATCCCTCCAGACAGGAGCCCTCGACCTCTGGAGGGGTGGGGCCGCAGGTGGGGCTGCATCCCCCATGTACATGACTGAGACCCCGCAGGGTGGCCTATCAGCCTGGGCGTGCATCCACCCAAGCTTGGGGCCCTGGGGCTGGAGTCTGCAGTGATTGCCCTGTGGATAGAGTGGCTGCGTGGGCCCCGTGCGTTGCACACTGGCCGTGACTCTTCTCATCGTGGGTTAGCAGGCACCTGCCCTCAACCAGCCTTCCGGGTTGGTTAGTGCCAGCCTTGCCTGGGCCCCTGGAATGTGGGGGTCAGGCAGGAAGGCCCTGCACAATGGGGCCTGCAGACCTCCCTCCAACATCCGAGGTGGTGGTTCAGGGAGGTGTGGCCCTGTAGGCTGGGTGTTCCTGGGGCCAAGCGTGGGCCTTGTTCTCCCCCTCACCAAGTCAGGCCGTGCACCAGCCTCAGGTGCCCTGAAATGCACCCCTCAGCCCTGTACTGACAAGAAGCTTGTGCCCAGCTGGATAGAGGAGCTGAGAGCTCCTGGGAGTGGACACATGTGCTCTCAAGTCGAACCTGAGGGTGAGGGCATGGGTGTGGCTGGCCCAGAGGCCCTGGGTGGCCTCATGGGAGCTGGGACCCAGGTCCAGGCACCTTTTCTGCCCACCTGCTTTGTGGTGGAGCTTTTGGGTGGTATGCCTCATGGGCATCTCTTAACTGATATGTCCCCCAGTGCAGGGCTGCCTCTCCAGTGGCCTACAAGGGAGCTGCCCTTAGGCCCGGGAGATTCAGGGGTGAGATGCAGTGGCCCCGGATTGCTGCCCACAAACCTGTGCCCCAGCAAGCCCTGTATTCTCCAGGTCATCAGAAAAGAAGCTAGGGTCTCAGGTCCACACTCCATGTGGCTCTGAGGGGCAGGCCATGGCTAGAGCCCTGCGGAGTGGGCTGACATCTGGGCATCAGGAAGGGGCCCTGTCCGCTGTGGCCTGTGCCAGGATGCCGCTTGGGCCATGCTGTGGGGAGGCCCATGTAACAGACAGCTGCTGTGACAACTGGGCCTGCAGTAGAGGGCATGTAGCGGTTGCTGAATGGTCCTTCCCTTCTGTGTGTGGAGCAGGCCGGGTTCTCGGGCTGGGCAGCTGTGTCTGTGGGCCTGGAGGGGTCTGAGGGGTCCAGAGGCCAGGCAGGGTCTGGACCTGTGGTTGACCTGGGAGGCCGCACGCAGGATAGATGCTCCGGAGGGCTGCGTTGGCGCTGGGGGTTGGGGGAGAGCCCCACCTGATCCCTGGAAACCTGCTGTGGGAGGTCAGGCACGTCCCATGCCAAAGCCGAGCTGTAGGCTTGTGCCACATGTGTCTGTATATATGTGTGTGTACACAACTGTGTCATTTGTGTCAAATGTATGTCTGGTTGCATTTGTGTGTGTGTGCGCGCTGTGTGTCTCTGTATGTAGATGTCAAGTGCATGTGTATCTGTGTGCCTTTATGTATTTGTGTGTGTCTCTGTATCTGGGTGTGAGTTTGTGCATGTGTGTGTCTGTATCTGGGTGTCTGTGTGTGTCTGGTATCTGTGTGTGTTTATGGGTGTCTCTGTTCGAGTGTGTGTCTGTATCTGGGTGTGTGTTTATGTGTGTTTGTGTCTGGGTGTGTGTATGTGGGGGTGTGTGTATGTCTGGAGCTGTGTGTGTGTTTATGTGTGTCTCTGGGTATGTCTCTGTATCTGGGTGTGTTTATGTGTATGTGTGTGTCTCTGGGTGTATGTGTGTGTGGGTGTGTTTTTATGTGTCTCTATTTGAGTGTGTGTATGTCTCTATCTGGTTGTGTGTTTATGTGCGTTTGTGTCTCTGGGTGTGTGTGCCTATGTGGGGGTGTATTTGTGTGTGTGTGTCTCTGTAGCTGGATGTGTTTGTGTGTGTATGTCTCTGCAACTGGGTGTATGTTTATGTGTGTCTATCTGAGTATGTTTATGTGTGTGTCTGTAGCTGTGTGTCTGTGTGTCTCACTATATGTCTGTATGCCTGTGTGTCTCTATCTGAGTGTGTGTTTATATGTGTAACCCTGCATGTATGTGTCTCTGTATCTGGGTGTGTATTTGTGTGTCTGTGTGTATCTGGATGTATGTTTATGTGTATGTATCTCTCTGTATCTGAGTGTGTGTTTATATGTGTATCCCTGCATGTATGTGTCTCTGTATCTGGGTGTGTGTTTATGTGTGTGTCTGTCTGTATCTGGGTGTCTGGTCGTGTGTGTGTGTGTCTCTATCTGTGTGTATGTGTGTATCTCTGTGTGTATCTGTATCGGGATGTGCATCTGTGTCTGTCTGTATCTCTAAATCTGTGTGTGTGTGTGTGTGTCTCAGTGTTTATCTGTATGCCTGTGTGTGTCTGGGTGTTTATGTCTTTCTCTATGTGTGTGTGTCTATGTGTGTCTCTGTATCTGTATGTTTTTCTGTATCTGGTTGTATGTTTATGGGTGTATGTGTGTCTGTTCGTGTCTCTGTATCTGGGTGTATGTCTGTCTGTATGTTTTAAACATACACCGACTAATGTGGGTGGGGCCAGCTGGGTGGTGGGTGTGGCACAGGGCCCACTGCACATCAGCTCAGAGCGCAGGTTGGGTGCAGTGGGGGTGCCCTGGTTGGGGCTGGCGGTGTGGTGGGAGGGCTGGGGGACCTGCCTGGCTGGCGTCCCTTGGAGAAGCAGCCAGGAGATGCTGGCCGTGGGCCTCGGGGGGTAGGAGGCAGGCTCCTGGGAGACTCAGGCAGTGCTGACGGCACGGGGATGCTGGCTGAGGGATCAAGGGCTGAGGGGGGCAGCCTGGGGTAAGGCCACATCTGGGGTCTTTGCTGGGGCAGAGCCAGCTCTCCTGGGGTAGGACCTGGTCCTCCTTGGAGCCGGGTGCTGGGTCCCCAGAGATGTCCTGCCTGTTGTGGCCTGGCTTAATTCCCAGGATCAGACTTGGGACCATAAGCAGTCGTGAGGAGAAGCAATTGCACCTACCTGAACCCCGTCCGTCCCTTGCCAGGAGGGTCTCAGCCCCCCGTCCCTTGCCAGGAGGGTCTCAGCCCCCTCATTTGTGATGGATGGAGGATGGGGGCAGAGTGCCTGGGGGGGACCCTAAGACGAGTCACCCAGCAGGGCTGCCCTGAGCAGACGAGGGGCCTTCCTGTCATGAGCTTGCCTGCCTCAGCCATCCTCTGACACCCACCAGGGTGGACGTGGAGCCAGCACTTCCCACAGCAGCCACAGGGGGTCAGCAGAGGGGCATTCAGGATGCTGTTCCCAAGCCAAGAGGGCAGAGTTGGGGCGCACACTTGGGTAGCTGGACCTGGGGGACCCAACAGCCGCTCCTGAGAGCCAGCACAGTGGGGGGGCTTGCCCCAACCATGCTCTGAGCCTCTCCCTGGTGTCCTGACCCACCTGACACCCAGTAGGCTCATGCCTCCACCCTTCAGAGCCTCTTCCTGTCACCATGATCTCTGACCCTCGGGGAGCCGCTGCAAGGCTCTGTGCCTCGGCTAGGGGCAAGGGCACCCAGGTGGGCTGTCCCAGGCCCAAGATCTTCCTCCAGGAGCTGCCCTGCACCCCACATGCCCTTGGCCCAGTCTCTGGCAGGTTGCCTGGCACACTGTTCTGACTTCCGCCCCTGTGTGTTTGTGTTACCCAGCCTTGTCAGTGTGCTATAAAACCGGACCTGGGTCAGAAAATGAGGAGGAAGGTAAGTGCCTCAGTGCCCTGGAGGTGCTGGGGACAGAGACAGGCCGTGGCTGCATACTGACCCCTGTAGGCCCACGAGGGGCCACGGCCCCTCCTTGGCTGAGCAGCCAGGCGTCCCATGGGCCAGCCCTGTAGGACTGTGAGGGGAGCTGTACATGGGCAGGTGTGTGTGCTGGGCGCCCAGCTGCAGGGCTTCCCAGTGGGCTCTGGGGTTGTGTGGCCCCTGGGACTGGGGTGGGACCTCAGACAGAGAGGCGTCCATGGGCCGGGTGTGTGGTAATGGTCAGTCCTCTTCTTCCTTTTTTCCTGCTTCTCCCACTCTGTCCTCTTTGTTCCCTCTTTGTCCCCCACTGTCTGGGGTGGGGGCAGGCTTTGGGGCAGCCTGGGTGCCGAGCATCCACTGGGGGTAGGACTGGCATGGGGCCTGGGCATCCCCAGGACGTGTCGGCGGCCTGTGTCCTCAGGGGACATGGAGGAGGAGATGGAGAACCCGGAGGTGGTAGATCTGCCCGAGAAGCTCAAGCACCAGCTGCGGCACCGGGAGCTGTTCCTGTCACGGCAGCTGGAGTCCCTGCCTGCCACCCACATCAGGTGGGGCTGCGGGCCACCGCCCTGACGCCCCTGTCTCCTCTCTGTGTCTGTGTGTATCTGTCTGGTGCTTTGGGCCACCCAGGGGCGCAGGGACCCTGGCCACCACCCCTGATGCCCGCCTGTCTCTTCTCTGAATCTATATGTGTGTCTGTGTGTACCTGTCTAATGCTGTGGGCCACCCAGGGCCACCACCCGACGCCCACCTGTCTCTTCCAGGGGCAAGTGCAGCGTCACACTTCTCAATGAGACTGAGTCACTCAAGTCCTACCTGGAACGGGAGGTGAGGCCCATGGAGTTCCTGCAGCCCAGGCTCAGCTTCCCCCTGAGCAAGATTGACCTGCAGGGCAGGAACCACAGTCACGTGGTCACTGTCCTTGGTCAGCATCCTGCCTGCTCTCTGCATCCCTGTCCCCTGCAGTGGCATCTGTCTCCTTCCAGCATAACTGACCTGGGCATGTCTACCCCCTCACCCCAGGAGGGCCTGCACATCCGGCAGGGATACTGCGCATGGCGTCCTGTGGGTGGAACATGATTGGGCAGGGATCCTCCTGGGGACGCAGCCAGCACCACTCTCTGGTGTAGAGCGGGCTGTCTTTGAGGGCAGTGAGTGACAAATTCAGAGTCAACACATGTCTGCTGGGAGCTGGGACCCCTTATGGTCTCACAGTGGCCAAGGAGGTAGGGTGCTATTTCCTTTTCAGATGGGTGGCCATGGTGCCCACACCCAATGGTATCAACCCAGAACTTGTGTCCAGGGGGTGAGGCGTTGTGGTGGTGATGACAAGACTTTTGGAGATTGAGCTGGGCACTCGGGGCCGTCAAGCCAAACACTGTCCCCAGTGAGCATGTGGACAGGCAGCCACCTCAGCTGCACTAGTGGGGTCTTCAAGAGGCGTTTCCTGCCACCTCCAAGCCTTGGGGACTCAGTGGACACAGGCCAGCAGTGGGCTCAGCACATAGCACAGCCATGACACAGGCACCTAACCTGGGTGTCTGGCTCAGATGCTCCACCATCACAGGGGCAGCGAGACTCAGCCCTGCTGGCTCCTGCTGGCCTTGAGGACCTGGGGCACTGTCCCAGCATGGCTGCGAGCCTTGGCGCCATGGCTCCGTGGGGGTGCTGTTCTGTCCACTGGGGGGTATTAGTCCTTCCACATGTTGTGACCGCCAGAAACCCCTCCAACATCCCCACATGTCCCCAGGGTGCAGGGTGTCGCTGCTGAGGCCACTGCCTTGAGGATCTGGAGAAACAGCTACTAGTGAGCTTAGGATGCCAGGGCCAGGTGGGGTCTCAGAGCTGGAGTCCCTTGGTTACTTACTGGGATGTGGGGTGGTTTCAGAAAACACCGGGTTGGCAAAGAGGCTTTTGTGTCTTCCATCGCCTGGGGAATATGTGCCCGCAGCTGGGGCCTCGGTGTAGTGCGGCGCTCTGCTCACCCTGCGGGCGCTTTGTGGCCCAAGATCCCTGCCTCCTCTCCAGGCTACTCCAGAAGATGCTCCTTTCTGTGCATGTCCCCAAGGAGCCACTGGCGTCCTCTCTCTGGGGCTCTGCGAGAAAGGATGCTCACTTTGGGGGAGCTTCTGGCCATATGTCACTCTACATCCTGGGGACCTCCATGAACCCTGCTTGGCCCTGCAGCCTCACAGCCTCATGTTCCCTTCATGACTTTTCATATGGGGTTCTGACTGCCTTCTGGTGTCCAACTCCAAGTGAGACTTGTGGCTCTGTAGTGGGGAGGGGCTACCATAGTCCCCAACTCACACAGAGCCTAACTCATTGTAAGTGTCAGTAGGACATGCATGGTGGACAGATGGACGGTGGGTGGGTGGGTGACTGTGTGGTTGATGACATGGTAGATGGATGATGATTGGATGAATGAGTGGGTAAGTGAGTGGATGGTGGGTGAGTGGATGGTGAGTGACTGGCTAGAAGGTGGATGGGCGGGTGGGTGGTTGACAGATGATTGGGTGAATGAGTAGGTGGGAGTAGATGGTGGATGACGGGTGGGAAGTCAGACAGTGAGCAGGCACTAATGGTCCAGTGGTGCTGTGGGCCCAGAACCCTAACTCGGGAGTTAGGAGAAGCTTCCATGAAGAGATAGTGTCTGCAGTAGTCCTGAAAAATAACTCAGCCAGCAAGGGCTGGGGGGGGGGTGTCTAGGCAGAGTTTATGCCAAGAGTTTGGCATGCTTAGGGAAGGGCTCCAAAGACCTCTCTGGCTGCCAGGAGCACAGAGTAAAAAGAGCTGTACGTGGCCAACTTCACAAGAAGTCGGAGCCAGACAGCTTGTCCAGGTGAGAGCAGAGGCTGGAGAATGAGAGGTCCTGCTCGTGTTTCAGAAAGCTCCTTAGTGAAGGAGCCTCTGAGGAAGTTCTGGGCAGCCGTGAAGGCGGTGGTGCAGAAACGTGTCTGAGACACACAAAGACACTCGTGAGCAGAAGAGCAAACGTGGCATGACCCACTTTGTAGGAAGCCTGCCTGTGCTGTACACATACGTACATGTATGCCGGGATCCTGTCTTCCTGGGGGCGAGGGTCCAGGTGTCCTCTGATTCCTGCTGTTCACTTGTCTGTTTAGGAAGTGACTAATGATTAAGTGATGAAAAACCCTAAGCTGCTGTTTGGGGCTCCTGGGTGCCCTGAAGCCTTCCCACTGCCTGATTCAGCCTTTTCCAGTGAGCTGGTAAATGGTCTGTAGTGTGTAATCTAAAGAGACTTGGGATGGGACATACCTCTCAGGCCTGCCCACTGTCCTCAGCTCACACCTCAGAACCTCGCAGGTGAAGTTCTAACAGAGACAGGCTCAAAGTAAAGCAAAAGAAGCCGAGTCGGCAGAAACGGCAGCAGGCTCAGACCCAGCAAGACCATGGCTTGTGGGATAGAAAATAGTACGTGTCTCATAAGCATTAAGACGTGAAGGAGGGACCTGGAGGTTCGACGCAGGCCTAGGGTGACCGCTGCCTGGCAGCCAAGGGCCAGTAGCCAAGAGCAGGCCTCGTGAGAAGCACACGTCCCATCGGGGAGGTGCTGGTACCAGTCAGCTCCAGCCAGCACCTGATGGACGTGACCTTTTACAGGGAGCCCCTAAAGAACAGGCATCAAGTAGATCGCTTTCAGAAGGGCAGAGGGGCAGACAATCAGGAAAGGACCAGCCAGGCAGCAGGTAGCAATGTGCAGGCGCTTGGTGGAAGCCTCTGATGTCGGCAGCGGGTGTAAAAAGGTGCGTCCGTAACACGCCCACTGCAGGTGTAAACGGTGGGAATGCCGGTTGAAGACGTGGCCAGTGTCTTAAATGATGGGAACCAGCTCCATGTTCCCAAGGAACACAGCCCTGGGGCTTGATGGCTGGAAGAGGCGCATGGCTGACAGCCGGAGGATGGTGGCGGCCATGGGAAACACTGCCCGCCACTGCTGTTTTTCCAGCATGGTTCCTGTAGTGACCGCCCCAGGGCCTGTCTAGACCTGTTAGCTCATCCCTGGCGGTTGCAGTTGCTTTGGTTAAATTTTCAGTGTTGCTGCTGACAGTGGTGTGGGATGGTGTTGTCCTGCTTGCGCACCGCGCCCCCCCCCCCCCCCCCCCCGTCTTCTGCAGCAGCCCTTTCTGGAGCCCTTCCCGTTTCTCCTTGGTGTTCTTTCACACTGACATCCACTGGGACAGTAGGCTGGTTCCCTCTTCACCCCTCCCACGGCCATCCCTATGGGCTTTGTTTCGAGGGTATGGGGAACTTGTTGGCCCACCCATGTTCCCAGGCTCCTGGGTGTGTCCTGGGGCCGTGCCCTGGCACTGGGCGAGGACACTGCTGTACTCAACAGCACCTGCTGACCCGCTGTGTCTTGGTGTTTTCCAGGATTTCTTCTTCTATTCTCTAGTCTACGATCCACAGCAGAAGACCCTGTTGGCCGATAAGGGGGAGATCCGTGTGGGGAACCGGTACCAGGCTGACATCACTGACTTGCTGAAGGAAGGTACAGGGGTCAGCCAATCACAGCATGTGCTGTGGGGTTCAGGAGCAATGGGTGCTGGCCACCTCTCATTGAGCTTTGTCTGAGTGGGGGGCGGTCCTAGTGGTGCCTCCCTGAGATGGTACCCCCAGCGTGTGGGGTTTAGATTCCTCTTGGCTGCTATTTCCCGTTACACTTCCAAAGCTCTTTCTCTCCAGAAAACCTCCTTCCTGTGAAGGATTTGCAGGCATTTTGCTGACTCTGCCTGCAGAGGGCCCTGTGTGCAGAGACTTTCCCATGTGGCTGAGAGGGTGGGAGCCTGGGCACAGTCATGGGACAGGGCAGGGGTAGCTGTGGACACTGCTGTGTGGACAGAGACCAGTGTGGATGCTCCCAGGCTGGCCCTGAGGCATCACGGAGGCTGCTGGTCTTCCCTCCTCCTCTTGATCAGATCGATCCCAGCCCTGGTGAGTGGAGGGTGGGGCTCACTTCACCCGCTTCTTCCTTGGGAGCAGTGTTGATTGCTCCTGGAGGTTAGTGACAAGTTGGGGTCAGAGAGCAAGAAAGAGCTTGATGGCTGCCTTACCAGCCTCCTAGACAAACATCAGGACCACAAGTCCCTGGGGGGGGGCGGGGCAGGGCAGGACCCCAGAGCCTGAGTCCGTTCTGGCCTCAGAGCCCTGGCTCCCCCTCATCTCCTAACGTGGCAGTCCTTCCTTCCTTCCTCCCCTGAAACCTGTCCTCTTGCACTGGTACCTGGTGCATGCCTCACGAGGAGTGCTTTAGGGGCTCCTGGAATGTAAGTAGATGACAGTGCTGAACATAAGCCTCGCAGGCTGTCAGCATCCAGGACTGAGGGGCAGGAAGCAGCTCTCCCCAGGGCCCTCTCCTTGCCCACCCCTCTGTGAACTGGGGGAGTGTTGGGGTTGTCACAACTGAGAAGCAGGATGGAGCCCAGGTAGCCGCAGCCTGGGTCTCCTTGTGAGGGAGGCACTGGGAGGCACCTGAGGCCAGCTCTGAGCTGTGAGGTGCCCTAGGCCAGTCTGGTGGAGGCTGTGACGCACACAGCCCACTGGTCATCAGAGCCCATGCCAGGGCCAGGGCCAGGACTGTTGGTCCAAGAGTGGAGCTTTCTCATTCTGGACGAAGGATGGGCCTTGGGACATTGGAGGGGATGCAGGAGCAAGGCAGGGGGCCACCTCTGGGCTTTAGAACTACCCACAGGGTTTTCAGGGCAGTCAGTCTTCACAGAAGCAAAACACAAACCAGACCCACTGCCAGTGAGTCGATTCCTACTGTCAGTGACCCTATAAGACTGAGTCGAGCTTCCCCCATAGGGTTTCCAAGCCTTTGACTTTGACAGAAGCAGATGGCCTCATCTTTCTCTCACAGGGTGGCTGGTGGATTCAAACCACTGACCTTTTGTTTGGCATTTGAATTCTTGACCACTGTACCCCAGAGTGTCTATGTCTGCCTATCTGTCTGTCTGTTTATATCTGTCTATCTAGGTAGGTAGATAGATATACACATACACATGTATTTCTGACGTCCATTTTGGTCTTTTCTTCCTTTCCTGTCTTTTTCATGACCTTTTGCTTTCTTGCTTTCTTCATGGATGATGTCATCCCACAACTCATCTGGTCTTTGGTCATTGGTGTCCAGTTCTTCCGGTGGTCTCTAAACTAAGGTGGAATGTAGTTAAGGTTGTGTTTTGGCTGCTATGGACTTGTTCTTATTTCCTTTAGCTTTAGCTTGCATATGAGCAATTAATGGTTTGTTGCACTGTCAACCCCTGGAAAGGAAGAAAAGACCAAAATGGACATCAGAAGAGACTCTGAAACTTGTTCTTGAACGGAGAGTAGCTTAAGCAAGTGGAAGAAATGACAAGATAAAAGAGCTAAACAGAAGATTTCAAAGGGCAGCTCAAGAGGAGAGTGAAGTAGTGTACTGACATGTGCAAAGACCTGGAGTTGGAAAATCAGAAAGGAAGAACACGCTTGGTATTTCTCAGGCTGAAAGAACTGAAGAAACAATTCAAGCCTTGAGTTGCAATACTGAAGGATCTGGTGGCGTAGTGTCTAAGGCATTTGCTCAACAGAAGGCTTGGTGGTTCAAGCCTTGAATTGGCATAATGCCTAAGGCACTTGACTGCTAATCAGAAGGCTGGCGGTTCAAACCCACTAGCTACTCCTCGGAAGGAAGGTTGGGCAATCTACTTCCGTAGTGATACTGCCTCAGCAACCCAAGGAGGGGTCACTATGAGTTGGGTCTGACTTGATGGCACATAACAACAACAACAGGCAAAATATTGAATGACGCAGGAAGCATCAGAAGAAGATGGAAGGAATATACAGAGTCACTGTACAAAAAGGAATTGGTTGACATTCATCCATTTCATGAGGTGGCATATGATCAAGAACCAGTGGTACTGAAGGAAGAGGCTCCTTCAGGCTGTGCTGCAGGAACTGGCTAAAAACAGGGCTCCAGACATTGACCAGATACCCATTGAGATGTTTCAGCAAACGACTGCAACACTAGAGGCACTCACTCATTCCTGCTGAGAAATTTGGGAAACAGCTACCTCTCCAACTACCTGGAAGAGATCCATACTTGTGCCTGCAGAAAGGGTGTGATGGCAGTATCCTCTGACCTCCTCTGACTTTGCAAGGGGAAAGGGGACCCAGAACAACACCAACAGCCCAGACTGATTCCTGGAGGGTGGAGGTCAGACATGCTACCACCCTCCAGGCTTTTTGTTAATTCTGGCACCAGCCATCCCTCCCACGGCACTCTCAGCTTCTCTGCTGGGTTCAGTAATTCATTGCAGTGGCCACATACAACTCACAGACCATACTTAGGAGTATGGGGTTCGGAAAGTAACAGGTTAAAATTCACGTTCAGGAACGCTCAGGATATGCTTCTCTGCTCAGGGAAGTTGCTTCTCAGCTGTGCCCAGGCACACCTCTCTAGTTTGGGATCCTCCCCTGCTTAGCCAGTGACACTGAGCTCTTTCAGCTTTGCCTGTAGGTACCCAAAGAGGCACCACACTGCCAGCAAGCCTCCTGCCCAAGGCACTCTGCTTCCTTGCTCCATGTACTAGGAAGCCCTCTGCTCTGTCTCACATCAGTCTCTTGGTTCTGCTGCTTCTGCCTCTGCTGCTGCCGTCCCTCTGTGGTCATCTCGGCACAGGGATCTCAGGTCCAAAGACATGTCCTGCCAGGCTCTTCTCTCTTCAGGGCAGAGAGGTCCCCCTTTCTGCCTCTGGAAGGGCTCATTTTAAGCTGTTGAAGTAGTAACATTCCTGTGATGGTCAAGGCTGTGTGTCAGCATGGCTGGACCATGTTCCTCAGTGGTTTAAGTGGTTAGGGTGTGGTCACCTCCATGAGGAGAGGCACTGTGAGCAGCCAATCAGCTGAGAGGGTGTTCCCTTGGGGTGTGGCCTGCTGCCGATACTTGCGTGGACTGACGTCCTGGGGACACTAGCTTTCTGCCGGATCTGGATCCTGCACTTGACTCATCATCTCCGGTTCCTGGACTTGAACCAGTGGCCCACCGTGTTGCCTGCTGGTCTTGGGATTGTTGTCATTTTGTCTGATAGTCTTGGCCTCCAGCTTCCCAGGAGTGCGGCATGTCCTCCACCCCAGTCAGTCAGTTCGATGCACGGGGCTGAGGGGGTTAGCAGCTATGGTGTTCCCCTCCCACCTTTAAGGGCTGATCACTGAGGGCTGACTGCAGAGCTGGGCCTAGGTGCCGGCTGAGGGAAGGAGGCTGGCCAGAGAGACTCAGCCTGGGGCAAATGCTGGTGAGGCCAGAGAGTGCAGGACCCTCAGACCCTCCTTGTTCTCAGCCCCCCACAGAATTCCCCTCCCACCTCACCCTCCGCACCCCGTCATGCTCAGCCCCCCGTCTCTCTCAGCGCCTCTTGCCCCCAGCACCCCCTTGTGCTCAGCACCCCATCTCTCAGGCCCTTTGTGCTCAGCCTGTCTCTCTCAGCCCCCCTTGCCCCCAGCACCCTGCCATGTTCAGCCCCCCATCTCTCTCAGCCCCCCTCATCCCCAGCACCCCCTCGTGCTCAGCCCATCTCTCAGCCCCCCTCATCCCCAGTACCCCCTCGTGCTCAGCACCCTATCTCTCTCAGCACCCCCTTGTGCTCAGCACCCCCTCGTGCTCAGCCCATCTCTCTCAGCCCCTTGCCCCCAGCACCCCTTCGTGCTCAGCACCCCATCTCTCTCAGCCCCCCTCATCCCCAGTACCCCCTCGTGCTCAGCACCCTATCTCTCTCAGCACCCCCTTGTGCTCAGCACCCCCTCGTGCTCAGCACCCCATCTCTCTCAGCCCCTCATCCCCAGCACCCTTTGTGCTCAGCCCCCCCACCTCTCTCAGCCCCTTGCCCCCAGCACCCCCTCGTGCTCCCCTTTTGCTCCATGTTCCAGGGCCTGGAGGGCATGAGCCAGGGGAATGGACGGTCCGAGGAGGCACAGGATCTGCCTGTCACACAGCTGTGGTCTTTCTTCCTTCAGGTGAGGAGGACGGACGTGACCAGTCCAAGCTGGAGACCAAGGTCTGGGAGGCACACAACCCCCTCATTGACAAGCAGATTGACCAGTTCCTGGTGGTGGCCCGGTGAGCGCAGGCGGGTACAGGGCCTGGGTCTACAGTGCCTGTCCCGGAGAGAGACACGAGCAAAGGGTGGGGACCCTCGGGCCCGACTGCTCGGGGTCTTCCTCTCCCAACTGCAGGCCCTGCCTCTGGGGCTACCAGTGATTCCCATTGACGACACTTGTTTTGGGGATTGGGGCTTGCAGGGCTGGGGCTCGGGGGACTGGGAGGGAGGCTGCCCAGGAAGGGAGGGAAGATAGGAGTGGAGCCCAGCGTCCTGGAGACCTGGCCACCAGAGTAACAGCTCCCACCAGTGGAGACACCCAGGTGTGCACTGGGACAGAGGAGGTGTGGAAGCGTGGGGCACTGCCACTGTGGCCCTATCTGGGTGACAGATACAGGGCAAGACAGAAGGTGGCCCCTGAATTTTCCCTGTGATGGAAGAGACCCAAGTCCTCTCTGACAAGAGAGGTATGGCCAAGGTTAGGGACAGTATAGACCAAGTGTGGGAAGGTAAAGTCCCTGGCCTCAGCCCCAAGGCAGCCGCGAGGCGCCGTGACCCCACATCTCCTGTCCCCCAGCTCCGTGGGCACCTTTGCACGTGCACTGGACTGCAGCAGCTCCGTCCGCCAGCCCAGCCTGCACATGAGTGCTGCTGCTGCTTCCCGAGACATCACCCTGGTGAGCCCCACGCATTGGGTGCCGAGGTGGCTTGGCGTATGGTGGGCCACAGGCTGTACTGTTGTCGTACACCTCTCTCAGAACAGGTGCACCTTCCAGAGCTGTTTGTACAGGGCTTCCCTGCCCAGGGCACATTTTCCTTGGGGTCCCTACCTTGCCAGGAGGGATGTGGGGTGGCTTGGGCCACTCTGCAGCCTCTAGAGGAACAGACAGGTGCCCACAACCTTAGGAGAGCCACCATCTAGGCATGGCCTAGAGACGGGCATGTCTAACTCCTGTGCCTGAGCTCTGCCTCAGTCCCCAGGGTCCTTACAGGGAAGCACAGGCCTTTCAGCGGCCTCCTTGATCCCCTCTGAAGGGCTCTGCCACTACCCGTCAGCCCCTGGAACAAGTCTGTGGCCTTGGGGACCTTCCCTCTTCTCACATACACCTGAAACCCACCCACTTCCACCTGAAAACTGCCTTTGCTCTTCCCAGGTGGTTGGGATGGTACCTGGATGCATAGGATTGGGGTGGGGGGTGGAGGTAGCCACCCAACTGGGCCTCTGCCCTCAGGGTCTCCTGCCACCAAGCACTGGCAGTGCATGCTGGGAAAACACAGAGGAAGGGTGTCCTAAGGTCTAGGGTACGGTGGGTAGGGGTGGCTCAAAGAGGCTCTGCAGAGGTGGTGGGCAGGCCTGGTGCCAGGCCAACCCCCTCACCATCTCATGCAGTTCCACGCCATGGACACGCTCCACAAGAACATCTATGACATCTCCAAGGCCATCTCGGCCCTGGTGCCCCAGGGTGGGCCGGTGCTGTGCCGAGACGAGATGGAGGAGTGGTCGGCCTCCGAGGCCAATCTCTTTGAAGAGGCCCTGGAGAAGTATGGCAAGGACTTCACTGACATCCAGCAGGACTTTGTAAGTGCCGAGGGGTGGGACAGGTGTGTGGGCAGGGGGAGCCAGGGGACTGCGTTCCCATCACAGGGTGTGGGACTAGTTTTGCCCCTGCAGCCCCTGGGAGGGCCTCGGCTGGGCCTCGTTGCTGGGCCCCCCCGCCGTGTGAAGTCACACTTGTCTGTGCAGCTGCTGCTGGCACTGGTGGAGGGGGCAACTGCTGCCTGCACGTCTCATGTGACCTTATGGCCCCTTCCCCAGCCCTTGCCCTTCTTTGGAGCAGCTCCTTGAGGACAAGGCTGGGCCCTCTGAGGCCATGTGTGTCCTGACTTACCTTGTCTGGTGACAGGGACAGAGAAGAGGCGCCTGGCTGGAGCCTGGGGTTAGGTCGCTGCTGTGGCTAACAGTGGTCACGGTGGGGGTGGGGTGCTTTTTGCTGACACTTACCAACCCCATCCTTGTCTTTGGTTCTTAAGTTTTTGTTCTGAGTTTTTGGTTTGTTGTTTTTCATGAAAGCTATTTGTGTCCTTGAGAGTTGCCAGCGAGTCTGGGGTCTTCTGTGTAGTGAGTTGTCCACCCCTCCCCCCACGACAGCTTCCAATGCAAGCAGAGTGAGTTATGCCTTCCAGAGTCTTCTCCCCTTAAACCCACAAAATGCATGGAGAATCTTTGAAAGGAAGCGTGGTTCTGTCCCAGCAGGCTGGGAAGAGAGACCAGAGCAGGTCATGACTTCCCAAGAGGTGGAAGCTGTCTCAGGACAAAGCAGGAACCTGTAAGCAGGGACACGGAATTGCCATCACCTGACCAAGGGTGCCACTGCCACAGTAAGTGGCAAAGCTGGCAGGACAGACACAGACTGGTGCAGCAGAGACTTGGGAAGTGTCCGGAAAGCAAAAGGAATAAACTACGGTGAAAGGGCCAGGGAGCCCCACAGACTGAAGGGCCAGCCTGGAAGGAGAAGCAACAGTGACATTGGACAAAGGTGGCCTAAGCCAAGCTTGGCAGTCAATCTCCCAAGGGCCATCAAGTGACCAACCAAAGCCCTCTGGGGTGAAACCTGGAACACTAGGGTAGTATCTGCTCTTAGGAAGAGCAGTGAATCTCAGCCAAGTACCAATGTAAGAGAGTGTTGTGGGTGGGAGGATGGGTGGCTGCTCTCCTGTCCAGCCCAAGGAGCTGGAGCCCTCTGCAAGCCATATATGTATATAACTTTGGCTGAAGATACCAAACAAAATGAGAGAGACCTTTTTCAGACAAAAAAAATAAAAAGAGCCAGACAACATGAGCTAAAACTAGAATGCGTCAGTTGGACTCAGCCAGTGGGGCTGCGATTAGCCTGAGAAGAACATTAGGTGGAAAGCCCTGTGCAAGGTCACAGCAGAAGTAGTTCTCCAGTGCTGAACCTGCATGTTCCAAACAGTATAGCAACAAGGCCTATGGCAAACCCTGGCAGAAACAAGCGCTATTGAAAGAACTCCGTCTGAGAGAGCAGCATCTTCCCTTATTTTCCTTTCCAGCTGATCAAGTACACTAAAAGTAGAAGTCAGTAATCTGAATTCCACCCTTAACAAGGCAGGGTTATTACATACGTCCATGCTACAGCATGTGCTTTGTCCCGTGTGTTTATAGAAAATGGGCTATTGCTAAAGGGGCAGGGAGGCCACATCTTCTGACCTCCTCTAACCGCACAAGAGGAAGACAGAATCACCATCAGTAGCCCAAGGCCCATTATGCCAGACATGCTACCTCCCTCCAGCCCTTTCACCAACCCTGACACCAACCATTCCTCCCACAGCACCCACTGCCTCTCTGTTGGGTTTGATAATTTGCTGCATTGGCCACACAGAACTCAAAGATGATGGGGTTTATTAGGGAAGCAGCAGGCTACAATTCAAGTTCAGGAACAATGCTCAGTCTTTCTCAGCCCGCCATCTCTCAGCCAACACTCTCACAGTCTCTCTCCCAGCAGTGCGTGTCCCTCAGGAGTGTGTTTCTCTCAGCAGCATGTCCTTCTCAGTCAGCAGTCAGAGAGAGACTTCTTCTCCCTCTTGGAGGCCTCCTTTTGAGCCTGCAGAGTGGCCAAACTAACCAATATAACGTCAGAATTCTAAGCACCTGAGAGAGAACTTCCCAGAACATTGCTTTGTGCCACACCCAACAGAAATACCCCAGATGGATAGCTTTTATAATCAGGAGCTCCTCAGTTGCTCACAGCAAATTCCACCACAGAATTTACAAAGACTTAGGCTAGAAAAGCCATAGCAGGTAATTTACTACACCACAGTTATAATGAACATGCTTATAAATCCTGAAGAAGAAATTATGCATCTAGGTTCTCTAACCATGGGGCTAGACTTTTCTAAGGATAAAAACTCAGTCTCTTAGAAATTTTTAAAAATGACATCCTAAAAGGGGGTTTAAGATGGAACTCAGGAGTATGATACTGGAATACTAGAGAACTCTTCACACCTAAAATCCTTGGGGTATAACCAAAGAAATGCTTAGAGGAAAATTCATAGCTTTCAATACAGCTGTCCACAGGAGGAAAAAACTATGTTAACCTGGGCAAGGAAATTAACAGAAGGAAGAGAAAGTACAGGGAGCCATAAAGTGATTTCCTGCCCCAGGAAAGAGGGCTTTTAAGAAACTGACGCTGAAAACGAGATGAACAGAGTTTCATTAAATGGCTTTACGAAGATAAAGCGCAAGGCCCTGGTGCTGCGTTGGTGTCCCTCGGTTGGGCCTCTGTGGCCTTGTTCTTGGTGCCTGGCACTCGGAATCAGTTTTGTTGCCCACCTTGTCTTCCTCTGGTCATTGCTGGCAAACGGCCCATGTTTCGGCATCTCACTTACCGGGGGAGGGAAAGTGGGCCAGGACAAAGCCATGAACATATGCCTTCTGGCCCCCACCCCCCTTGCCCCTCTCACCACTCTTCCACTGGTTAGTCTCCCTCACATTTCACATGCCCCCCCAGCCCCATCTCCTGTGTGGGGTGGCCCACTGCCCACCCTGCTCACTGTGACACGCTCTCTCCCACCTAGCTGCCCTGGAAGTCCCTGACCAGCATCATTGAGTACTACTACATGTGGAAGACGACTGACAGATACGTCCAGCAGGTGAGGAGCGGCCTGAGCCGGCCCCGGTGCCCGCGCCGCACAGCCGTGTGGCTGGTGGGCAGACCCTGGTCCAGGAGGCTCCCTGGGTGCCCTCTGAACAGCTAGCCTTTGTCTTCCTGGGTCTGGGCCCTCCCTCCCGAGCTGTTTGTAGGTGCTAGGCCAGGGACCCTGAGTGGACAAGGTTGAGCTGAGGAAAAACAGCACTCTGGGTGGCCCCAGCCATGTCTCAGGTTCCCTGGGACTAGGCTGTGCACCTTCTGGAACAGAAGATCTGGAGCTACAGATCTCTGTGACTGGCCTGGCCCTCCAGCCCAGCTTGCCACCCTTGGTAGGGAAGGGTACCCAGTATGCCTGACTGACTTCTGACCCTTCGTTTGTGTGTTTCCAGAAACGCTTGAAAGCAGCTGAAGCTGAGAGCAAGTTAAAGCAAGTTTATATCCCCAACTAGTAAGTGCCACCCTTGAGACCCCTGAGGACTGGTGGGATGACCACAGATAAGACTCCAGGCTCAGGCAGGCTCCTGTGGGTGGGTTCTGTCAGGCAGGAAGCCCTTGCAGAGGCCACAGGGAGCTGGGGCTCCCATACTGCCCGGCTTCAGCTCTGGGACGTGAGCACCAAGGATGTGGTTCTAACCAGGGCAAGTGGGTTGGGCTGGGGAGTCCCAGAGGCTGCATCCCTGCAGTGGGTGGCTGGTGGAGGCGACGTGTGGCCCCTTTGGGGTTCTAGGAGCTTCATGGCACCTAGCTCTGGCCCAATGCTAGACACAGGGTGGTCTCAGGAGTCAGTGAGGCAGTGTTGGCCATGGGGCTGGACTGTCCCACTGAGACAGCTGGCTCTAGCGCTCAGCCCCTGAGCTGAGGGGTGAAAGAAGGTCCATGGGAAGCATGTCTGGGTGACCGGCCGGCCGGAGGGTGCAGGGACGCTGGGGCAGGGTCTGCGTTCATGGCCTTTGCGCCCTGGCTGCTCGTGATAGCCGTGCTCTCTCCCTGTCCTCTAAGTAACAAGCCGAACCCGAACCAGATCAGCGTCAGCAGCGTCAAGGCCGGTGTGGTGAATGGCACAGGGGCGCCAGGCCAGAGCCCCAGTGCTGGCCGGGCCTGCGAGAGCTGTTACAGTAAGTGATGCTGTGGCTGGCACTGGGCCTGCCCCACAGACTGCTCCCGCAGCGCCAGCCTGGGCCCCTTCCTAACCCTGAGCCCAGAGGATTCCAGACTGGGCTGGCCTGGGAAGGGAGCCTCTAGTGAGCTGAGGGGAGGGGCTGAGTCACGCAGAGGTCAGAGGTCGGGGGAGCCAGGGAGTAACACAGGGCTTAGCTAGTGCGTGTAGGCGGGAACTGGGGGAGGGGGCGAGGCTCCGTGGGTGGGTCCCAGGGCTTCCCAGTGCCCCTGGGGGAGGGCCAGGGTGGGGAACAGCTCTGTAATGCTCTGACATCACTGGTTCTGTTAAGAACATGTATATCTTCAACTTTGTTGTCCGTAGCCACACAGTCTTACCAGTGGTATTCTTGGGGTCCCCCTAACATGCAGTGTCGTCTCTGTGCCTCTTGTTGGACATATTGGAAGAAATATGGTGGCTTGAAAATGCCAACCCGCCTAGATGGTGAGAGGCCGGGACCCAACCGCAGCAACATGGTAAGCGGCTGCTGACCCCCATCCTGCCCCCTGCCCCGCGCCCCGCCGGCCCCCGGTCATGGCGCTGTGTCGGGCCGCCGCGCCCCTTCCACAGAGTCCCCACGGCCTCCCGGCCCGGAGCAGCGGGAGCCCCAAGTTTGCCATGAAGACGAGGCAGGCTTTCTACCTGCACACAACCAAGCTGACACGCATCGCCCGGAGGCTCTGCCGTGAGATCCTACGCCCCTGCCATGCCGCGCGGCACCCCTACATGCCCATCAACAGTGCCGCCATCAAGGCCGAGTGTGAGTGCCTCCCCGCGCGCCACCTGCCCCCCGCCGGGTGCTACCCGGGCGGCTCCCCTCACAGCATAACCCTTGCAGGCACTGCCCGGCTGCCCGAGGCCTCCCAGAGCCCGCTCGTGTTGAAGCAGGTTGTGCGCAAGCCGTTGGAAGCTGTTCTCCAGTACCTCGGTGAGCCCACCGCCCCGAGCCATGCCCCAGGGGATGGTCCTCTCAATAGTGCTGCCTGACCTGCCACTGGCCAGGGAGCTAACTTTAGGGTGTGGCCACCGAGGGCCCCCAGCACTCAGCCCCCAGGCCCGAGCAGAGTGGACTGAGCGCTGCTGTCCCCAAGCCTGGTGCCCTATGGCCCTGACCCAGTGAGGTGATGGGGGGGCAGTCTCTGGCTGCCACTGCGCCCCCACCTCTCCAGCTCCCTTATAGCTGCTGCCCCTGGGCACACCAGGATCACAGTGTCCTTGGGGCAGGTGGGCTTTTGCTGAGGGCTGGCCATAGGAAGTGATCGTGGCCAGCAGCCTGGCAGGGAGCACCCCGCTGACCCTTCGCTGACCCTTGGTCCAGCCCAGCACAGGCGGCGGCCTGCTCCAAGGGCCCTGTGGACATCCAGGGGGGCTCAGTGACCAGCCCAGGCCCGTGAGTGAGCTCCTCTGGCGTGGAGGTGGCTTTGTCTCTGTGAGGGACATTCCGGGGCCATGAGTTCATTGCCCACAGACACTGTGGCTGTGGCACGACCTGCTGGGTGGGGTCGGCCCTGCCTGGCCTTGCTGCATCCTGTGGACGCTGGCTGGTTCCAGTGAAGGCTAGTGGGCCTCTGAGCAACTTGGGGCCTTGGCAGCCAGCTCCTCCCTCTTGGGCCCAGCTGCAGCCAGGGGACTCATGTGGGGCTGGCCCTCCAGGTGTGTCCCTGGACAAGCCCTAAGCTTTCGCCTGTCACCTGGCCACTGGCCATCCCTCTGATGCCTACCTCCAGTGGCCTGGAAGTGGGGTGTCTCACGGGCAGGGGGTGCTGTGTCTGGGCTTGCATTCGGGTCCTGGCCATCTCAGGCCGGTGGCCAAGGGACTGGCCCTGCAGTGGGTGTGCCCCAGTTGCCTTGATCTCCGCCCCCCAGTCAGATACTCTCAGGACCCAAGGGGGAGGTGCAGGTGGGAGACAGGTCCTGTAGAGGTCATGCCTTCCTCCCCACATCACACATCTCCATTTGTGGAACCCCCTTGGTGCCCTATACCTCCCCTGTTCTTCTCCAGGCCTTCCTCAGTGCCCCACAAGCTGGGCAGCTGGGCTGAGGGAAGAGAGCCTCTGTTCAGCCCCCTTGTGGCCTGGGGTCACAGGGTGAGGGTGGTGGGGACCCCTCGTCAGGCTGTCTTGGCACAGAGCGTGTCGTGGTCAGTGCGCGGGGTCAGTGTCTGCATGCAGCTCTTGGCCTCCCTGCCTTCCCACTTGGGTGTGCTCAGCCCTCTGCCCTGCCGGGCAGCCTCCTCATCTACCCTGTGTCCCCACAGAGGCCCACCCACGCCCACCGAAGCCTGAGCCCATGAGGAGCGTGGCTGGCGCACCCGGCAGCCTGACCCCCGCCAAGGCGGCCCCTGTCATCAACAACGGCTCCCCCACCATCCTGGGCAAGCGGAGCTATGAACAGCACAATGGGACAGACGGTGAGCGTGGCCCGCAGGTGCTGGGCGCCGGCCGGGGGCCAGCCCTCCTGAGCGCCCGCTGACGCTGTCTTCTCTCCTCTGTCCCCGGGCGCTCCCAGGCAACATGAAGAAGCGCCTCCTGATGCCCAGTAGGGGTAAGGCAGGCGGCTGCCAGGCGGCCTGGCCGTGTCTGTGCTGTGCTGCTCGTGCTTGGCGGGTGGGCGGGCGTGCGAGGCAGTCCACGCTGCGTGCCAGCCCTCGGCCCACCCCTGCCTGGCCCGCCTCCAGGCGGGAGGGCCCGGCCAGCGCCCGGCCTTGGACTGCCTCGCACGGTGGCCCTGGTGCCCGCGCTGTCTGTGCTCGCACTGTGACTGCCGCATGCTTCTCGCCCAGCTCGTGTGGCCCTGTGCTGTGCCTGCAGTTTTGTGTGCACTGTGCACGGGCGGCTGGGGGTGGGGTGGGGGTCTCCCGTACAGACCCTGGTGGCTGCTCCTGGCTCTCCTTAAACTGCATGGCCCGTCTTGAGACAGGTCTTGGGGCTCCCCACCTCGAGGGAATTGGAAGCTCATGCCTAGTCTTCTGACAAAAGAGCTGTCGAGCTGTTGGCACTTGGCGTGTGAGAGCAGCATTGGGTTTGTGGCTCTAAAAGGGTAGCTGTGTATTTGGTGGGGTTCAGGTCTGACTAGTGGTGCACTGAGCCAAGGACTTTGGGGGCCAGGCCTGGGCATCCCGGGGTGTGCACTAGGAGCAGGAGTGGCCCCCAAGACCAGAACATTCCCTGAGGGAGGTTTGGGTTGGGGGGCTTGAGCGCCCCCCACTCTGGCCTTGTCCTGGGATGTCCTGCCATCCGTGGGTGGGGACCCAGGTGTGGCAGCATCCAGGCCCTGGTCCTATACCTCAGGCGTTCCCTCTTAGCTGCATCTGGGGAGGGTGCACGGCCCTGTGGGGCTACAGAAGGAACACCAGGGCCACCACCACCCTGGCCCTTACCACTCGCTGCTCACTGAGACCTGTCAGCCCTGAGGTAAAGAGCACCAAGGGCTGTGGGCCCCACAGCAGCCTGTGGGGGCGGGGTGGGGCGGGGACTCCCTCCTGCCCCAGTGTCGCTAGAGTGGCCAGTTCAGGTCTCGTGCGGAGAAGCAAGTCTTTGTCAGTAAGCATTTCTAGGCTTTTGGACTTGTGTTGTCAATGCTGCTGAAATAAAAACTAGTTACAGTCTGTTCAGTTGGACTGAATTTTTAAAAACCCCTTGTATTGACCTGCAAGGCCCAGGAGAACCTCAGGTGGGCCTGATAGAGGCCAGGGGCACTGCAGTCTCTGTCCAGCCTGGGCGAGGAGCTGCTATGTCAGGGCCTGCTGCCCAAGCACCATTCTCCTCCTTGTCTAACTCAGATATGTGCTCTCTTTCCCCACCATCTGTTGGACGGCCAGGAACTTACCTAGGTAAGTGTTCCCCATGGGCTCTGGGCCTTGGGTCTCTGACAGGCACCCCAATTTATGGCCTAGCAGCTGCAGGCCACAAACTGTGACCTCCTCTCTACCCACGAGTGGGGCTCACGGAGCTGGGACAAAAGAGCCTGGGCCTACCTGCTGTCTGGCAGAGGGTGTTTAGGCTCGAGAAGGGGGTCTGCTACTCCTGCTTCTGCTCCCTGAAGAGACTCGGACCTCAGCTGAGCAGTGCACTTGGGACGAGGTGGCCAGTTGGTGGAAAGGGTGGCAGAGGCCACCCAGCACATACACACTCCCCCACACAGTCTGCCAGCCCTCCTAGCCAGGTCCACACCTCACGTGGGCTACACACACACACACACACACACACACACTTGTGTGCTCATGTGCAAAGGTACATGTTCCCACATACTTGTGTACACGCTCATCCATGCGTGCACGTGAGTACGTATGCACTCATGTAGTCTGTCTCGTGCATTCACGGACTCACACTCACGTGTGCTTACTGCATGCCTTCACACGTGGGCAGAGCAGAGCTGCAGCAGGGGCCCTGAGCCGGGGTAGGCTGTGCCCTGTGGAGCCCTGGCTGCGATGGAAGGTGGCTGCCTGGTCTGGCCCCCTGGCTTCCAGACCCCTGCTGATTCCACAGGGTGGAAGAGCCCATGTCTTGGCCAGAGCTCAGGTGGTCACCCCACCTGCCCTCCTAGGAGCTTTCTCCTAGGCTGGCCTGGCCCAAGGCAGCTCAGAGATCTGTATGAGCCACGTCTGGAGACTGGTGTGGCCACCTGCCTGCCAGGCGGGCCCCATGTGTTGCTGTATTGACAGCAGTGCTGGGCATCACCTGGTTACTGTGCAAATAGCTCGTTCGTCTCAACCCCGCCAGGTGGGGAGATTGCAGCTATCTGCTGGCCAGGGCCCTGCCTCCTCCTTGGAGTCTGAGCACATGTATTGTTGCTGCCCCTAGTCCATCATGGGCTCAGAGCCCTGAGAGCTTATGGAGTAGGCTTGGCAGGGTGCCCCAGGGTATTCTTTGCCAGGCTGCAATACCGCCTTGTAGCCCTGACCCCTCCTGTGCAGGGCATGGCCATCAGCTGGCCATTAGCTATCCTGGGACCTCATGGTTCTATCCCCTTTTTCTTCCCTCAGGTTTGACGAACCATGGACAGACCAGGCACATGGTAAATAGGGGCCCCATCCCCTACATTCATACACACATGCACACATACACTCACCCACACACAGTATACACATAGCATTCTCAGATCTGCACACTAGCACACACGTGCACATACCCACACGCACAGCATCCACCCAGCATTCTTGCATGCACACAGTAGCACACACCTTTACACACGCAGTGCGCACAGCATGAAATGTGCACAGAGCCACATGCACACAGCATCCTCACGCACACAGTAGCACACACATGTACACCCACCCACACAGCATCCTCAGACATGCGCACAGCGTCCACACAGCATTCTCTTGTGCACACACTAGCACCCACATGCATTTACCCCGACACACGGTTCACACAGCATTCTTGCATGCGCAGACTAGTATACACGTACATTCACCCCTACACACGCAGTGCACACAGCATCCTCAAACATACACACACCCACGTGCACGGTGTCCACACAGCATCCTGAGATGGGCACATCCCCACACACTCAGCATGCACACAGCATTCTCATGTGCACACAGTAGCACACACATGCATTTATCCCTACACACACAGTACACACAGCATCCTCAGATGTGCACACACCCATGCACACAGCATCCACACAGCATCCTCAGATGGGCACATACTAGCACACACGTGCACTTGCCCACATACCTACACACAGCACACAGCATCCTCGGGCATTGGGCATGAGGCCTGCGCAGCCCACTTAGAAGCCACTTGCCCCAGGTGGGTGTGACTCTGTCAGGCCCCACATGGGAGCATCCAGGAGACATGGGAGGTGGTGCCCATGGGGCCCTGGCTGGGGCCTGGGGTCTGTGAAGAGAGAGAAGCTGCTTCAGCCCTGGGGGCTGTGGTGTCTGCCTTCCGCTCACAGGATGCTACGTGATGAGCGTGGAGCTGTCCCTGGGTGCAGACTGGGGGGTACCTGAAGCAGCCAGAGATCACTGAGTCCCCAGCCCCACCTCACCCTACCCACTTGCCACCCTCCCCTCCCCTCTGCCTCAGGGACCAAGCCGGAACCTGCTTCTTAATGGCAAGTCATACCCCACCAAAGTGCGCCTGATCCGGGGGGGCTCCCTGCCCCCCGTCAAGCGGCGGCGAATGAACTGGATTGACGCCCCTGATGATGTGTTCTATATGGCCACCGAGGAGACCAGGTGCTAAGGCCTTCCCCTGGGGCAGGGGGCGGGTGCATAGCCGCTGGTGGTCTCACGCTCTGCATCCCGTGTGTCCCCACACCTGCAGAAAGGTCCGAAAGCTGCTCTCGTCATCCGAAACAAAACGCGCTGCCCGCCGGCCCTACAAACCTATCGCCCTGCGCCAGAGCCAGGCCCTACCCCTCCGGCCGCCGCCGCCACCACCCGTGAACGACGAGCCCATCGTCATTGAGGACTAGGGCGGCTGGCTGCTAGGCCACTGCCAGGGCTGCCACACGGTGGGACGGAGGCGCCTGCCCCTGCCCCACCAGAGACCCCCAGGGGTGGCTCCAGGCTGGCGGCGTCCCTCAGCCAGACTGCTCCTGCCCGTCCCCTTGCCCTCCCCCTCTTCAGTTTTTGGTAGCGCCCCTCCCGTGCAGTCCCTCCGGAGCAGGTGTGCCTCTCACGGACACAGGGAGAAGTGCGGTTAACTTATTCCCACAATGCCCACAGCCCTTAGCTTTGTGTTTACTTTTTGGCCGGAGTGGAGACATGGCGCCTTGCCCCTGGGCCCCGGGCGCACTGCAGGGCCTCTCGTCCCAGCGGGAGGCTGGCTTGTAAGATTTCGTTGTGTTCTGTTGAAGGTGCCATTTTAAATTTTATTTTTATTACTTTTTTTGTAGATGAACTTGAGCTCTGTAACCCCCATACCCGGAATGTTAGGGTCGGCGTGGCCGACACCGGCCACGCGGCCTGCCGGGTCGGCCCTTGTCTTTTCAAGTAATTTTCATATTAAACAAAACAAAGGAAAAAAACTCATAAAAGAGAAAACTGGTCCTGCCCCCACCCATGTCTTTCCTCTGTAGCCCCTTCTTGGTCTCGGGGCCCCCGGTACCTCTGAGTACTGCAGGCTTTCCCTGCACGTCCCTTGTGCTGGGCCTTGGGGCCGGATGCCCCCGACACAGCCCAGCCTCCTGGCCTGAACAGCACTAGTGGCTGCTCTTACAGAGTGATGGAGACCATGTTTCCCCAGAGCCCTGGGCCGCCCTGAGCTGGGGCTCTGCTGGGCTAGCTGGAGTCACAGGTTGGGGGCCCCAGGCAGGTGGTCCTGCCGTGAACACACAGGCCCTGAGAAGCCCTGCCTTAGTGCTCTCACCCTGTGGTCATGCCCACGATCCTGCTGTGACCTGTGCACCGTGACCCCGCTTTCTGCAGGCCGAGGCTGCCACCATGCTCACTGGAGCTCCCTATTGTAGCCCCCTTTGACTCTTTGGTCCTGGGGCAGCCAGGGCTGTTGGCAGCCCCCACAGTCCAATCAGTGGGCAGTGGACTGTGAGCCTAGAGCTAGCTGCCCACAGCAGCAGGCTGCAGGAAACTCGGAGAAACCCCTGGGGTTTAGGGCAGAAAGAGAGCCAGAGCCAGGCCTGCCCGGTTGCCTGTCACCCAGGGAGCTGTGGCAGGCAGGCAGGGTAGTTTTCATGGATCTGCCCCTGGGGGTCTGGGGCTGAAGTGGGAGCAACCACCTCACCTCACAGCCCCACTGCCACTCCCCCCCAGTCTGGCCAGCCCACCTTTCTTCCTCCCCTGGCATTTCTGGGTGGTGAGATGCCCAGGTGAGCCAGGCCCCCGCAGCCTTTGTGGAAAATGGAGGTTGCTCCCATGGCTGCCTTGAACCCACCCTGCTGGGAGTGGGTAAAGTGGGACACTCCCACACTGGGCAGAGCTGGCAGCCCACCCCTGAGGGTCAGCACAGCCAGTCAGTGCAGCCTGGCAGCCCAGGGCCTGGGCCCCCTGCTGAGGCCCAGCTGTCTGATGCATCCTGCTTGGAGCCAAGGAGCCTGCTGCCAGCAGGTGTGGTGTTTCTGTGTGTTGGGAGTGGTTTGCAGCTTTCCGCCAGTCCCTTGTTCTCAGAAATCCTACCTCAGTGTTCCTTCTGCTCCCCACCCCCACAAGCCTGCCGGACAGGTGTGCAGCAGGCCCAGGTCTGCACAGGGGCTCCACCCCTCCTTCCTCAGGCTCCACTTCCTGCTGAGGACCTGTGATGTCAGAGGGATTTAAATAGAAACCACTTGTAGGCCCTGAGGAGATAAGGAGGTGTCCTGGCCTCCAAAAGACTGCCAGGGAGTGACAGGCCTGGGTGTTGGGAAGCCACCGCAGCCCACCCGAGCCCTGCCAGGGCCTGGCTGGCAGCAACTCCCTAGCCATTTTTGGCTAATCAGTAGTTCTGTACCCCCGCCCCCGAGGAGTGCCCCACTGCCCCAGGTTATCTGCAGTGTCGGAGCTACAGATGGGGGGGGCACCAGGCATGACCTTGAGGAAGATGCCAGCCCAGCCGGGAGCCTTGGAGAACTTGAGTGAGAGGAGGGACCCTCTGAAGACCCCAGCCCATCCCTTTTCCATCCTCTGGTCTGGGCCTGGCATTGAAGTGTCTTCAGGCAGGCCCTGAGACCCTGGCTTACCCCCTACCCCCAGGCTGCCTTGCCTGCTCCCAGGCCCTGCTGTCTGCCATCCTGGGTGTAGGGTGTTTCCCAGCTCAGGCCTTCCAAGACTTTCAGGGTATCCCTCACGGGTCCTGACTGGCAGCATTGTCCAAGCCAGGGGAGTCAGGGTCCCTGCCTGCTGCTGCACCCCCACCACCAGACACCTTGGTTACTGTACCCACGATCGGGCAGGTCTGAGCCCAGGGAGTGGAAACAGCCAAGCTAGGGCTCAGGGACTAGGAGGGGTGGTGTCATGGGCTGTGCAAGGGTGCTGAGCCCAGGAACGTGGCCACGCCCCACTTTGTTCTGTCTTCAGGCCCCTTTCCTGCCCAGCCCCACAGCAGGGCTCTACCCCTCCAGGGCTGAGGGGCAGCCTAGTGGTGACGCCAGGCATGTGGGACTGACCTCAGATCCCTTAACCTGCCCTGGGCCCTCCACTGTCCCCCTCAGCCCAGACGCTGGTTCCCCACAGCAGAGTAGAGACTGGGTGGCAGGAGGAGGCAATCCCAGATAACCCAACAGGGACATAAGGAAGTTCTGGGCCACCCAGCAGAGTGACTGCCACCGTTGTTACCTCTGTCCTCACCATGCCCCACCTACACCCCTGGGGCTGGAACCCCCCTGTGGTCACTGCTTCAACGTGGAGCACTCATCAGCCTGGGAGGTGGAGGTCAAGGCTACTGCCCTGCTGTGCATTGAGCTGTGTTCCTTCCTGCCAGGCCCAGAATAGCCCCATCGATTCAGGGAGCTGCTGGCCCTAGCCCAGGGACTGCAGCAAGGAAACGGGGGTGGGGGTGGGGGTGGGGCGGGGGTGGCAGGGCTGGACGCATCTCCCCCCTCCATCTGCTCCTCCCCTTCCCCCAGGGCCCATGCCAACACCATTTCTGGGTTGCTTCCCACATTCCCAGGTAGGGCTGGGGCCCTCGCCACCTCCATAGCAGGCCTGTAGACATTGGTAGCCAGGGTGGCACTGGGAGTGAAAAGGCAAGGTTAACGGTGCCAAGTGGGGGGCAGGGGCCCATGGATTATTGAGACACCAACACCCTGCCTGAGGAAAGGGTGGGGAATGAGGGGTTTCAGGGAGGCCCACTTCACCCTACAGATACCAGGGACCAGGCCACCCTGCCTAGGAAGGGGACTGGCCAGAGGCATCCTGCCTGCCACCTCCAGCCTGGCTCAGGTCGGGGGGGTGGGGGGGCTGGTCAGGCTGGTCAGTCGGGCTTGGGGCGGAGTACATGTGCCTGGGCTGTTGTTGCCATGGAAACGGGGTGACTGTGGGGCAGGCGTGCACTTTGGAAGAAACTTCCTGCCAGGTTCCCAATTCAGGGCTGGCTGGGGAACAAGACCAGGGAGCCGACAGCTGCTCCTTCCAGGTCCGTTCACCCCAGGGCCCAGCACAGGGGCTGTGGGATGTTGACTTCCTCGCCCACTCACTCCAAACTCATGCTAGGTGCCAGGGGCTGGGAGGGGTCCTCACCCTCCAATGGCAGGCACGCCAGGCAGAGGGGCAGGGGCAGGGTTTAACCCCAAAGTCAGGCTGTGGTACCTCGAGAGGGCTGCTCTGCTCCCTGGGTGCTTGGGGGTGCAGCAGAAAGCGGTTTAGGCATGGAGAAGGCCCTTGGGGTGGGCCTGGAGAGGAATCTCTGGTTGAGGTAAGACTGGGGCCCTAAGGGCTGACTAGCTTCCCCAGGCAGAAGGAGGCCCCACGCCCTAGGTTCCATGTCATCAGTGGATCCAGAGCAGGGGCGTTTGCCCCTGAGGTCTCGGGTAGTGGGGAAGTCTGGATCCCGGCGAGGGCGGCGCAGCACATGGGCCAGGGGCCCTCCTCTTCTGCTCCACTGCCTCTTACCACTCCTTTGGTGGGAGTGCTCGTCGCTTTTAGCTAGTGCAGGGCGAGCTTGGCGCTGGCGGGTCCGCTCGGTCGCTCCACCCAGCCTCAGACCCAGGCCCCACCCCACTCCGTCCGCAGTTTCTCTCCGTCGTTTTTTTGGAGGTGGCGGGCGCAATCCCCAATCCTTGCCTGCATCATAACCCTTCAGCACCAAAGACAGTGTTAAGTTGGGGAAAAAAGGCGGGGGCGAGCACCGTAAGAGACCGAGACTGGCCTCGGGTGCCACGGCCTCGCCCGGATCTCGCTGCAAGGCGGTTGCTATGGGAACCGAGCAACAAAGGGAAAGGGGGAGGACTCCCTGCGCGCACGGCGGAGTACAGTGGGGATCCTCCCGAAACCCGCGCTTGCCCCCGGGCCGGCCTGGGTGCGAGAAGTCGGACTTGCCCGTCCGGGCGGCGGTCTGCGTCCTCAGGGGCCTCTTCCCAGGGGTCCCCCGGCCCACCGTTCCCAGCCCGCAGCCCGGCGCCATGGCAACTTTGCCATGGAAACAGCCGGGGCGCGCGCCGTCACCTGGGCGGGCTCTGGAGACGCCTCCTCGGCTGCAGTGCCGGGGGGCGCTAGGCTCCACCCGGGCAGGTGCGTCCCGCCCCGCGGCGCCCCCAGGCGGCCGGCAGCCCCAGAGCGGGCTCCCGAAGCTCCGCCCCGGCCACGGAGCCAATGGGCGCGCCGGCAGCCCGGTAGGGCGGGGCCGGACGCGGGGCGGTGGCTACCGAGACCGGCGCGAGTGGCGGGCGTGGGCCGACCTGCGCGCGGACCATGGCCTCCAAGTGCCCCAAGTGCGATAAGACCGTGTACTTCGGTGAGTGCGCAGAGCCCGCGCCATGCGGACGCGGCGTGCGCCTGGCCCCCCGCCAGCTCCAGGGTCCGGAGCCGGGTGCGCCGCGCGGCTGCGGCCGGAGGGTGGGGTTGCGACCCCGATC